CTGCTTATATCAATGATTGATTGGTCCACTGCAGGAGAGAAAAATCCTCATCCTTGTCAGGTCCCCCCTTTTATGCTGTATTGATTGGCTTTTCACCTGAGTGGAAATCAACTAACTACAGTTTAAGCATTTAAGTCCTTTTCATGTCTTTATCAGCCATGTAGACTGTAGATAAGCTCCACTCTTGAGTACATTTATCTAAGAAAATATGCAAGCCATTTATGTTGGATTTAGGAAGGAATCTCTTAAAGCAGATTGTGATAAAAGGCATTTTTGAATTAACCATTTCACTGGCAGTGGATTATTAGAAGAATCTACTGGAAAGTGTTAGAAATTATTAGAGCAAATGTATAAAGTGTATGGAGAACCGATATTGAGCTTTAGGCATTGGTATGAGCTTTTGCTTTAATTGGCTCTGTCATTTTCTTTATGAATTGTAGAGTTTAAGAAGCAGTCTGCACCATCTGATACAATGCTACGGAATACTGTGCTAGATCTGTGCCTGCATCCGTCTGTGTCATGCACTAGGGGGCATTAAAGGCACAGAATATCTTCAGATTATATATGTATTTTTCAGTTTAGGAATATTGTCAAGAGTGAGTCCTTGTCCTTCTTCTTCTTACACTAAATGAGTAACTATATGTGCAATTGATTTTTAAAAGAGAACTGTCTGTCACTAATGGGTTTTTTTCAGCCATACTCATACAGAGAGGAAGTGAGACCACATCAGTGTCATCTTCAAATGAAAAGGATAGTGATCTACTTAATCCCTCAATGCTCCTTTCACTCATTTCTTTACCCATTTGAGGAAGGTGCATCATTTAGTGTATGCTTTTTATAATTTGTCATACTTACCCAGAGGATTACCATCTGTGATACTCAGGTTTTGGAGTTTGTGCTTTAAAAGGGTACCCAGAATGTGAGGGGAGTTGGTAGTACTTGGCATCAGTTAAAGTAGCTATTTGAAATACATCTGTTTGTTGAGATAAGAATGTATTGGCCTTATGAAGATTGTGGAATCATTGAGAATTTTAAAAGGAGCAAAATTTCCTTGTTTTGCTCTGAAGTGATAAAAATTATGTCTTGCTATAACATAAACTTCGTCCATACTACCAAAGAATGAAGAAGCAATATTTGCATGTTGACATGTTAAACTCATATTAAAAGTTTTATATTCATGTTATTTCAAAATAGACTTCATACTTCTTAGACCTTTTCCCTGTTCTACTTTTATATGTATGTATGTGTATACTGAAATATAATCTCCTTTAATGAAGTTTAAATTTAGTTATTTAGCTAGCATTTTTAAGCAGCTTGAAGTCAATTCAGGGTTTTCATTATAAGGCAAGATATAATATGTACATATTGTTTATTGACTAGTATCTTTCTTGGAGTCAGTTTAATGTTATCCTCTTCTCTTTTATGTAAATAATATTAAGACTTTTGAAATTTGTTCTAGTTCATGTACTAAACTGAAGGTGGCATTAATAACGTGAGCCCTTTCTTAATGTGCAGACAATCAGGATGGCTGGGACGGCAAACAAGAAAGTGAGGAACGGCTTTTTGGGAGCCAGGAAATCATGACTGAGAAAGATATGGAATTATTTCGTGATATCCAAGAACAAGCACTGCAGGTAAAGTTGAATATTCAGATGGGACAAACAGTTTGTTCATGGATGAGAAACAGAGGATTAATTATATTGTGGGTAAAGCAGTAATAGCAATTTATTTATCCATCTGATCTGCAAATAGATGTGGTTTGTGCGTGTGCATAGTTTGCTGGTGTTCTTTTCAAACCCATGATAATTGCTCTTTGGTTTTGCAGATAAACACATTGCTTTGACTACCAGTATCAAATGAGCTTGGTTTATTTATCAATATTTTCTGTCTTATGTATGAAGAAGAGTTTAGGATTTTACCAACAAACAAAAACCAAGCCTCTCTCAAGTGATAAAACACATATTCATTAATTCAGGAAATATTTATTAAATGCTTCTGCCTTAATCCTTTGTTAACAAGTAGCAAGATATAAATGTACAGACACAGAACCTACTTATGTGCCAGATGTTAGAGATGCCAAGGTAAATGACAGGATTCCTTCTCTAGCCAGGAGAGACTTGTAAATAGATAATTTCCTTAATGTGAAAGTTTAATTATAGAATACATGGAATTTGGGGAGTATGGGAGGCAAGTATGTACTTCTTTCTGGGGAGGTCAGAAGAGGATTCATTGAGGGGAAATACTACTTGAGGTGGTCTTAAGAATGTGTAGGAGTTTATCAGGATGACAAGGAATGGTGTCCCGTATAATTAGAAGGAACAGAAGCGTGAAGATTTGAAAATGCGGGAAGAACATAGGGTGTAGATAATGGCAGAATAACAGATTGGAAGAGTGCAGGGGTAGATCATAAAGGCTCTTTTGGATTGTGTTTATCTTTTGTCTTTTCCTTCTTTGCCACCTACTCACTGTGTAAGCTAAGTTGAGTTCTGTCTCTTTTCTTGAAATTAAGAATTTATGAGGCTGATGCTGGGGATTCCTGTTGCATAGGTGAAACTCTTTGGATTAAGAGACCCATTAGTGAATAGACTGTTTATGTAGAGTATTTTTGAAAAATAAAGACAACAATATAAATATTCAGCAAACATTTACTCGGCACTTCACCGTCTTATGATTTAACCAGGTATGGCTTTGAGTCAGGTAGATCTGAGGTCAAGCCTTGGTCTGTCATTTACTAACTTCTACTTCAGGCAAGTTGCTTAACCTCTGAAGGCATATTCTTTTCTGGACAATAAGTAAAAAAAAAAAAAGTGTTATAGGTACTGTAGTAGAAAGTTACATGATATTCAGTGGGAATTCAAAGGAGTTCTTCACTTTTTAAGAACATTTTTTTTCCCCTGAATAAGTTGCAGACATATGCTAATGCCTTTTATTCCTGCTTATTTGTGTGTATTTCCTAAAAACAAGGACGTTCTTATACTTGACCACAGTACAGTCATCGCATCAGGAATTTAACACCAGTGAAGCATGTTACCTAATCTGGAGGTTTTAATCAAATTTCACCAGCTGTACCACTAATGTTCTTTATAGCAAAAGGAAAAATAAGCCACGTCCTGGTCCACTGTCCAGTCTAGGATCATGTATTTCGTTTACTTGTGCCTCCTTTAACCTGAAATACTTTCTCAGTCTTTATCTTTCCTGCCCTCGACATTTTTGACGTGTGCAGGTTATTTATTTTTTTGAATGTCTTACAGAGGTGACGTGTCCTCATCAGCGTGTCATACCAGGAGGCACGTAGTAGGTGTTCGTCCTGTTACAAGTGATGTTAACTTGATCACTTGGTTACAGTGGTATCGTGCCTTGTTTCTTCTCTGTGAAATCATTTGCCCTCTGTAATTATTGATATGTATCTTGTGGGAATACACTTTGTGTAAATATCCTGTTTCTTATCAAATTTTACCTGCTAGACTTTGCAGGTTGCTTTAGATGGAATTAGATGCTTTTCTAATTCCATCATTTATTTTACATTTATTAATTGGCGTACTGCTATAAGGAAGAGCTTTTCCTTCTTCCTGTCTATCAGTCTATCCATCCATCCATCCCTCCATCCATATGTCTATTTGTCTGTCTATGACTTGTAGATTCTTATTTTATGAGTTATCTTATCATTTGTTGCTATTGATACTTATTTTGATGCTCAGATTGTTCCAGATTTGGGCAGGGGGAACCTCAAGCCAGCCCCTGAGTCATTCTGACGTTTCTCTGTCATTTTTCCCCCCACACAGATTGAGAACATTTATTGTGATTTTAATCTCTACCTCACCCTTAACTTCGGTTTTTTTGTGTGTGTTACTTTCTCCAGTTTATTCTATTCATTTGGTGATTTTTAAAATTGAGGTATAATTGATAAACATTGTATTAGTTTCAGGTGTACAACAAAATGATTCGATATTTGTACAGTCCATATTCATATTTACTTTTGGCCACAGCAGTATGTCCTAGGCTCTTGTTGTTCTAGTTGTAGATTCAGCCATTTCTCTAAGAATCCCTGGTTCCTTTTCTTGGAGAATAGGAGTCAGTGGTAGTTCTGTTCTTTTACTTGCTCAGGCCCAAAGAGGTCCTCGATTTTTTTCTGTCTCATGCTCTGTACGTATTCAGTTCATCAGCAAATCCTGTTGGTCTGCCTTCACAATATATCCAGAATATGACTCCTCCTTTTCCCTTCCACCTCTGTCTTAGCCTAAGCTGCCGGCACCTGCTGCTTGGGCTGTTGTAATGTCTCCAGACTCAGCTACTTGCTTCCACTCCTGTTCCTCACCCCAGTCCTTAGTCTATATTCTTTATACAGGGCCTGCAGTAAATGTTTTGAAACATACCACTTCTCTGCTCAGAAGCCCTCCAGTGTCTTTCAGTCTTGCTTAGAATGTTTAAAAAGGCCCACCATGACCTTGTGCCTGCCCCGCTCTTCCAAATAGGAGAATTGTGTCTCGAGTAATGAGGTTTGGAAATTCAGTCACAACATAGGCATCAAACACCTGCTTATTAAGACTCAGCAGTGTTTGTCAGTTACTAGGAGACAGGAGCTACCTGGTCAGAAAGTGTCGGCTCTTCCACTTTGTCCTCCCACTCTTGCCCTTGTTTGCTCTGCTCAAGCCACAGGCCTCCTTCTCTTCCTCAGACACACCAGGCTCCCTTCTGCCTTGGAGCCTTCACACTTACTGCTCCCCGTCTGGATTGCCCTTCCTCTGGCCCAGACGTCTAGTTGGCTCACTCTGTTTAGGTCTCTGCTCCTGTCACCCATCAGAGAGGCCCTTCCTAAATCCCAAACTGAAATAGCATACATTTATCCCCACTGTATCACTCTGTGTCCCCCTACCTGCTTGCTTGTCCTATATAGTACTTATCACTTCCTGAATGTAAATATTTATTTCTAGAATGTAAGTGCCTTGAGAACATGCACTTTCTTTTTGGTCACTGTTTTATACCAAGTACCTGGAATATAGTAAAGGCTCAGTAAATATTTGTTTAATGAATGGATGTTTAAATGAAATTTTCTGCTGGGAGAAATGGGCCAGGAGTTGGAATAATAGGAGTGTGAAGAGAAAGATGACTAGGGAGAGTTAAAAGGGGTGCTGAGCCTTGCTGAGACCCAGTGGAGACAATATAAATTTGTATTGACAATAATCTGGCTAATTGTGTGTTTCTTCCAGTATTTTATTGAACTTGTGATTGTCCATGTACGTATCTGGCACCAAAGAAATAACTAGATATTTGAATTCTAATCTGTGCTTATTTTCATTGGCAGTGCACTGAAATTCTGATGATGGTGGTATTTCTGCGTGAGGTTCATTCATTTGGAATTCATGTGCCTGGCATGGAACTAGAGCTATAGGCTGAACAAAAAGTCATAGCTTCTGCCTTCATGAAACTTTGCCTCATGAGTGAGACAGATAGTAAACAATCATACAAATAAATCTGTTCTTACAAACTGCTAAGTAATAGGAAGAAAATAAGAATGCAATGAGAGGTTATAGTAGACACTTCCTGGTCCAGGTGTCTGGGATTCCTCTTTTAGGGCAGTGATAATTTACACAGGGACCTAAAGGTTGAGTGGAAAGTCAGCAAGGCACAAAACTACTAAGAAGAATGTTCCAGACATAGGGGCTGCCTGTGTAAACGTCTTGAGGCATAAAGGAGCTTGGTAAATTTGAGAAACTGAAAGAAGGCCAGTATAACTAGAGTACAGTGAATAAAAGTCACAAAAGATAAAGCTGAAGAGATAAGCTGACGACCTAAGTTAGGATTGGGGTTTTTATTGTAACTGTAGTGAGAAACCATTGAATGCTTTTTTTAGAAAATTCTTTTCCATTATGGTTTATTATAAGATATTGAATATAGTTCCCTATGCTATATAGTAGGTCCTTGTTGTTTATCTCTTTTGTATATAGTAGTGTGTATCTGTTATCCCAGACTCCTAATTTATCCCTCCCTGTCCCTTTCCCCTTTGGTAGCCATTAGTTTGTTTTCTGTGTTTGTGAGTCTATTTCTGTTTTTTAAATAAGTTTCATTTGTATCATATTTTTTAGATTCTGCATATAAGTGATGTCATACGATATTCGTCTTTTCTCTGACTTACTTCACTTAGTATGATAATCTTTAGGTCCATCCATGTTGCTACAAATGGCATTATTTCATTCTTTTTTATGGCTGAGTAGTATTCCATTGTATATATCTACCACATCTTCTTTAATCATTGAATGATTTTAGAAAGGAAATAGATCAGATTCGCATTAATTTTTTTTTTTGGCCACTCTATGAGGAATGGATTGGAATTAGGCAAGAGTCAAAGCTGGAAAACCAATTTTGAGGCTTTTTCAGTGATCCAGATGGAAGAAGATGGTGACTTAGACTAGAGAGGTGGCAGTGGAAATGGGAGAGAAGTGGATTGATTTAGAATGCATTTCAGAGACGGAGTCAGCAGAACTTGGTGGTAGATTCAATGTGCAGTGTAAAGGAGTGGGAGGTTGTCAAGGACAGCTCCCAGGCTCTCTGACCTAATGTAACAGAGAAAGTGGGTTGAAGCCAGTGGGGAGAGTCGCTATTGATTAGATTAGATGATGTTTTTAAATAATAGAAG